CACAAAATAGAAAAAAAAATGCAGAGAAAGAACAAAAACACTAAAAATGCAAAAAATAAAGAGAAACACAGAAAATAAAATCAATACCAAGACCAAATTTCCTACTTGCCTTCCCCGACAACGGCGCCAAATTTGTTGTGTACAAATTATTTATTTTACCGAGTACCAAATCGAAAGATTCGTTTCCCGGGTCGATCTCACGAGGAAGGCGATTAAGAACTTAGCTTTGGCATTGATAACACATAAAAAGAAAACAAATCCTAAACACTCTAATCAGATAAAGATTGGATGAATTATAAGCTACGAAATAAATAACAATGTAAAAATGTAAATCTACTTATGAATGAAATTAAGATGGAGAAGCTAGGGAATTGGGAACAATCAATTCAAGTTCTATTTGCACATCGAGACATAAATCACTCTATTCTAGATTGACGCTCTCGCTTAAGCATCTAGCGGTTTGCTCCCAATAACTCTTCGTAACAAGGGATTGAACATAGACGAGCAAGTTCGAGCATACAATACCGGTCAATAATCCAAACCTAATAACTTTTCGTAAAAAGAAAGAAGACACCGACAAGCATGTATTTCAAACCAAAACTCATAGATTATTCAGTTACGGAATCATCTACCATATGCGAGCCTAGGTCTACGACTTCTTCCCCTTTCAGTTCAAAAAGTCGCTAACTTAACTAGAAGGTGATTAATCAACTAATCATATAGAATCAACAAACCCTAACTCGACTAATCAAAACCCAATCGTTACCAATTGCGAGATCGAAGTGTCACTCTCTGATTATATCAATTAATCAAGCAAGATTACATCAATTCCGAATTAAAGCAGCCCACACAAGAACGAATAATTCAAGCCGGAGATATACACGTTAAACATGATCAATTATTCCATATCCTTAGCAAAAAGAATCAGCTATGCAACATAAATTCAACACAATAAATCAATTCTCTCAATTCAATCATTATTCATGAATTCAAAAGAAGAGAAGAGAAACTTACAATAAATCCCAATTTCACGTGTCGAATATGAATTACAAGCTTAATTCAAAATGCAAGAATAAACCCTAGATGAAAATTGGAAAAGAAAGATAAAAAGAAGAAGAAAAATGATGGAGAAGAAGAAGAGGGGAAGGATAAGGGAGTTTTGTTCGTGTTTTCTCGCCCTAGGTTCGTCCCCAAGAGGGGGAGAATGCTCCCGAACGATTCTAAAATTTGCTATTATAATTGCTAAAAACGCGAGCTCCGCGGCCGCGACCATCCTCCGCAGCCGCGACTTTTTTGTGTTGAAGTTGGGACTGACAGCTTTTTGTTCGCTGCGGCCCGCGGTGAAGAAAGGGTCGCGGCCGCGGCGATAAAATCTGCACTGCACGACTTTACGGTTTTTGCTCGTTCGGGTTCGTTTTAACTCGGAATTGAGTTCTGTTTTTTTCGACGCATCGCTAATGAACCCCTCTTTATAATGGAGTCAGCTTCCCCAAAAAATTCCAATAAACCTGTTCTCCCGAAGCTCCCGACCTACACACCAAAAATGAAAACACAAACGGAAGACTACCGAAAAAAACATAAGAATTACCGGGGAACTCAAGACAACACAAAACACACGATAAATGAAAAAATGAACCTAAAACCAACTAAATGACTCAAAATGGGAGAAAAAGAATGAAAAAATAACAACGAAAAACGCAACAAAAATGAGACAAACATATGCCAGGATCATGATGTTGTTATTATTTTAATTGTTTACTTTAGTATGAGTTTCTGCGGAGCACAGTGGATTAGTGCTCACGCCCCCAAATTATTCATGTTTTTCAGGTCACAGGGTCGGAGCCGAGGAATGAGCTGGCGACCGGTTCAGGATATTTGTATATATGTGTAATTATGCTACACTATGGTTTCCGCTACTGTTTCAGTTTACCAAACCAGTTTTTGGATCCGACACCAGTTGGTTATTATGTTTATAACCGTTTGTTATTAAATTAAAATAACGATTTTCAGATAAAGTCAGATTTTACGGTAGCACTCTGAATTAGTATTTCGCAAAATAAATGTTTCATTTAGAAATATTTTGCGAAAAGCGCGCTCTGTTTTTCATGAAATAGCGGCGTGTTACAATTGGTATCAGAGCACGTTTATGCGTCTCTGAAAATTTTTACGAGTCAGAAAATTTTCAAAAACCGGAACCCGTCACGCTCACGCCTCGCCGACTACATGTAAGTGTTGATTTATGTTTTTAAGTTATAAACAAATTACTTTGTCTATGCTCAGAAATTTATTAAGCATGACTTAGTTAAGATGCTCAAATCAGGTTCAGAACTTATAGTTCAGTGTACTCAGATATAACTCTAGATTTCCTCAGGGTTACTGTCAGTATTTTCCAGCCATGTTTGACAACTCGTCAAGAGATCTGTGTGCTTAAGTAATTAGTTAGAGTATTTTTCATGTGTTCAAAAATGTTGAACTTTTTCAATGATCAGATGCTGCCCCGTAGGGAACCCGATCGCCCGGTTATTCCCCAGGCCACAGTAGTCGCACAGTTCCGCGACTATCATCCTGAGAAATTCTCCGGTCAGGGAGATCCCCGTATTGTGGACGAGTGGATTCAGGGCCTTGAATTGATTTTTGAGGTCATGGATTGTCCAAATTGCTATCGCGTTATATGCGCACAGCTTCAGTTACACGGTGATGCTCGACTCTGGTGGAATGCCTACTGGAGCATGCGTCCCGGTGAGAAAGCAGGTTGTACCTGGGAGAGGTTCAAGGAATTAATCTGCAAGAAGTACTATCCCACGTACTACCGATCCGAGATGGAGCGTCAGTTTCTGTCGCTCAAACATGGTACTCGTACTGTTGATGAGTACGAGAGGGAGTTTACTAGACTTGTAGCTTTTGTTCTGGACTTGGTGCGTACGGAGGCACAGAGGGCACAACGCTTCATCGATGGGCTTTACCCAGCAGTCCGTCACAACA